GAGGTTGTTGTGAGCTGTAATGCCACGGCACTCTACCCAGGGGGACAGCTTGAGGCTCTGTCTCAAAAAAAAAAATAAATAAATAAATAAAATAAAATAAAATAAAACCAAAAATAAAAAAAAAGAAAAGAGCTCTCTTCTCTTCTCCCCCGCTGTCTCTCCTCCTCACTCTCCTCTTCACATCTCCTCTTTCTCTCCCCTTTTCTCTCCTCCTTGGTGCTGCTCTGCAGCCTCCCTCCCCCACCAATAAAGACCTTTCGTACAAAAAAAAAAGAAAAGAAAACCAACTTGGAACTACTCCAGCACCAGCAGACTTCCTTAAGGGCAAAACAAGTAGGGGTAGGGGGCAGGGAGGGACAGGTGAGAGTAAACCAACCCTGACCCCTACCCACGTAGGCAACAACGGTCTAAGTCCCCTACTCTACCTTACTCTGGGACTCATACGGTTACCTTACAGTTACCTTCCTTTCTGGAACTTTCCTCTTTCTGCCTTTAAAATTTTTTTCTATCCAAAGTTTCAACAAAAATTATAAATAGAGGCTTGTCACTGAGTAACAACTACTACAACATGCTAACAACAAAAAAAAGCCAATTTATTCCATGGATGTTGAAAGAGGGGGCTACGGGGGTGACGCCTGTAGCTCAGTGAGTAGGGCGTCGGCCCTATATACCAAGGGTGGTAGGTTCGAATCCGGCCCGGCCAAACTGCAACAAAAAAATAGCCAGGCATTGTGGCAGGTGCCTATAGTCCCAGCTACTTGGGAGGCTAAGGCAAGAGAATTGCCTAAGCCCAGGAGCTGGAGGTCGCTGTAACCTGTGATGCCATGGTACCCTACCGAGGGCAACAAAGTGAGACACTGTCTCTAAAAATAAAAATAAAAAAAATAGGGGGCTAGGATTAGGTGAAATTTATTTTTACATTCATTCACTCATTTATGCATGTGTACCTTTGCTTGAAGATTAGGGGAAATTTAAAGGGTCATGAGAAAACAGCAGAGCCTGTGTTTCATTCACTTTACTCGGTTTTAGAGCATAGGAATTGTGCCCAAAGGTTAGGATAAGTAATTAAAGATTCCAAGAAATGCCCAAACGTTAATTACAAATGGAAGATTATACTACTGAAGAGCTTATGGTAACATGGAAAAATATTTAAGTTATAAAGTTAAATGAAAAAGTAGGATATAAAACTATATACAATATGAAGCTCAACTATATAAAAACCAACTAACCAAAATATGCTCTTAAAAAAGCTGAAATAAACAGTGAAATAAAAAGTTTAAAATCTTAATCACAGTTACGTTTAAATAGTGTATCTACAGTGATTTTTTTTCTTCCTTTACTTTTCTGTCTTTTCCAAATTTTTCTCTAGTGGGCAGATTTTTTTTTAAGACTACTAATTAAATCTAACAGAAGTATTGAATCTGAGTTAATTAATTTAAGCCCAGAGTATAAGGAAGGATCTATGCATTTATAAAACTATTAAAAATAAAAAACAAAAAATGCTGGCTACTCCATGAATCACTGTTAGGAGTAACTCAGCAGACATTGGACTTTGAGCCTTTTCTCCAGTCAAGTGAAAAAGATGTCACCAGATCCCGCCTGATGAAAAATGTTGAACTCAGTAGAAATATCACAGATTTGGCTTGGCACCTGTGGCTCAAGTGGCTAAGGCGCCAGCCACATACACCTAAGGTGGCAGGTTTGAATCCAGCCCGGGCCTGCCAAATAACAATGATGGCTGCAACCAAAAAATAGCTGGGCGTTGTGGCGGGCGCCTGTGGTCCCAGCTACTTGGGAGGCTGAGGCAGGAGACTCGCTTGAGCCCAGGAGTTGGAGGTTGCTGTGAGCTGTGATGCCACGGCACTCTACCCAGGGGGACAGCTTGAGGCTCCGGTCTCAAAAAAAAAAAAGAAATATCACAGATTTTTCTCAAAAAATTTTTTATCAAAAATATTCAGGGGCACACTGAGGTCTTGGGACAGGGCTGAGCAAGCGGCCTTTCTAAGCATACCGATTACCTTTACCACACATGGATCCCACCTGGGTGAAAACAAAAAGGAACAGAAATGCCCATGATTGGCAAAAATTTACTTACACTATAGTAGTTCATTAATACTAGAATTAAACATGAGGGTTTTCTCCTTTCTGTGTAGATGTTAAGTTATAAAAACATTTTTATCACAGTAACAGTAGAAAGCCAATCCTAATTTAGAAACAGAAAAAAACCAAAATTGCAGCAACAGTGGACTGAGAACAGCACTGAATTTAGAAAATTATAAAAAGGGCTCTGGACACTTGTTTCCTGTACACACTTTGAAGCCTCCCCCTTCTCCCACAACAGAAAAAAAGAGGCAAAACCTCCAAGTGTTTTCTACCAAAGTATCCACTGGTTTGCCCATCTGGCAAACACCGACTGAAGGCTCATAATGTGCTAGGCACTGGGGTCTCAAAGAGAAGAGAAGACTTTTTCCCTGACGCAAGGACATCTCAGTCTTCCCAAAGCAGGAAGCAGACACAACACCAACTATGATACATCAATTAAAAGCAGATGCCACTGCTTAGCTTACAATTAAAGGATATACTGCAATTCTCACTTGAATGATTTCTACAAATATCCTCTAAAACACTGAAACTTTCCTGACTTACTAGGAGGCAAAAATGCAAATCATTTTCTCCCGATAAGTACTTTCTAGAAAGGGCAGGCATTAAATTACACTTTGTGATGTTTGCTCCTAACCATCACAAATGCCTAGTGATGTCAGTTAACTTTCTTTTTAAACAATGGATCATATTTAACTCCAAGAATGACACATTTTGAAACAGAGAGTAAGTGACCAGTCTAATATCCAGATCAAGATTCATCAGTACCACCAAAGGTTGAGATGTAGGAGTACAGGTCTCAATTAAATCCTTCCACCTCCTTTCCCATTCGCTGACTTTCAATATGCTCCTGCGTCAGCCGCTCCAGGTCTTTCTGCACATTTGGGTGGTCTTCCAGATCTTCATAGAGTGATCTGACGATGTCCAGCCTCCTGTAATTCTCAGGCCTGACTAGGCTTCGTACAACCTGGAGGCATCGCTCTTTTAGGGTATACACTGTAAATGCAGAAAATCAAAAATATTCAGGGGCACACTGAGGTCTTGGGACAGGGCTGAGCAAGCGGCCTTTTTAAGCATACCAGTTACCTTTACCACACATGGATTCCACTTGGGTGAAAATTAAAAAGTGCGTGTGAACACTGTGACAGTATGTTACGCTGATAGCCCCCAATGGACACCTCATGCCACTCACACCCTTCTATAGTAACTTCCCCTGATAAAGGGCTGAGCCTGGGATTTACTTTAACTAAATGTGGATGAAGTAATATTGGCAATTCTGGACTTAATCCTTAAGGACTGGCAACTTCTGCTTTTATACTCTTGGGAGGCCCGAGCTAACCTGGGGAGAGACCATACAAAGAGGGACAAGCCCTGAGACTACCTGAAAGACAGGCCCAGACCTCAGGAAACCTGCCAGCAAAAAGCAGCCCTCCAATGACTACCAGTCATCAGAACAACCACCTAACTAAGCACAGTCTAGATCGCAAAATTATTAACAAATAATATGGTGGTTGTGAATTTGGGGTTGGTCATCACATAGTGATAACGAAAACAGTATGTAATTGTTTTTTGTTGTTGTTGTTGTTGTTTTGAGACAATGTCTCACTTTGTCTCACTCACCCTGGTAGAGTGCCCAGCATCATAGCTCACAGCAACCTCTAACTTTTGGGCTCAAGCAATCGTCTTGCCTCAGCCTTCCTAGTAGCTGGGACTACAGGCGTCCATCACAACACCCAGCTATTTTTAGAGATAGGGGTCTCACTCTAGCTCAGGCAATGTGAGCTCAGGCGATCTGCCCACCTCAGCCTCCCAAAATGCTGGGATTACAGGTATGAGTCACCACGCCTGGCCTGTAATTGGGCTTTGAGGGAACTCAATTCCTATTTTAAACATACTGGGAATTTACTCTTTAAGGGCATTCTTTTTTTTTTTTTTTTTTTTTTTTGAGACAGAGTCTCAAGCT